CCCCAAGATCAGATCGATAATTTGATACTCAGCATACTGTATTGCATCGTCTGGGAGACAAACAATGTATTAACAATCATACCAACCATGTAATATGTTTTTTTTTTTTTGTAATTTTTTTTTTTTTTTTTTTTTTTTTTTTTTTTTTTTTTTTTTTTTTGTAATTTGCTCCAGGAGAAAACATCGCTAATTTTTTTTTAATAATATCAAACTTATAGCATCTTTTTTTGCTCTTTAACTTTTGTTTAATGAATAAGCTTCACAAATAAGTCAAATTTGTTTCGCCTCTAACCCTTTTTTGCCTGATTTTGCATTATCATTAATTTATGGACATGACTGTAAATTCAATGTAAAAGGAGCGACGAGCGAGCCCTGAGGCGTGCCCGCGCTGATAATTCGTTTAGTGGAAAATGTTTGATTAATACGAACGATGCAATATCTATCTGTTAGATAGGAGCGAAGTGTTGTTATGATGAATTCTGGGAATCCCAGAATGATTAATTTGTAAATAAGACCATCGAGCCAAACACGGTCGAATGCCTTGGATATATCTAAGAAGATTGCAGCTGTGCAGAGTTTATTTTGAAAGCCAGATGAAATTAATTCAGTCACTCTGAATAATTGTTAAACTGTGGAATGTTTGCTGCGAAAACCATATTGCTGTGGGATGATAATTCTTCTATTTTCAGCAAATTTCTTTATTTCCAGGAGGATGATATGTTCAGCAATTTTGCTACATGATGGCAGGAGACTGATTGGCCGATATGATTTAGGTTCATGAGGAGATTTTCCAGGTTTTGGAATCGGAGAGATAATTGCAATTTTCCAATGTGAAGGAAAGTAGCGTAAGTCGATGATAAGTTGGATGATTTTAATGAGGCGACATATCATCAGAAGTCCCATTTTTTTATCATGATGTTGGTTATGTTATCATATCCGGGGCTCTTTTTCGTCTTTAATTTTTCAATATAGCCAAGTACATCCGATGGATTGACTGCGATGCTGTTGGTAGCGTGTGTTTTTGAGAAGAATTGGGTAATGGTGCTTGTGACTAAGTTTTCAGTGTATGGGTCAGAAATGTTGTTTGTGACAAACTGAGTAGCATAGTAATCTGCTAGAGACTGAGCTTTCTCAGTTTCTGTGTATGCGATCCCGTTTTGGCCTTTAAGGGGCGGAATAGTTTTGTAGCATCTCTTTAATTTAGAGGTGGCTTTCCAAAGGGAGTAATCATCTGATGTAAGCCCTTCCAAATATTTAGCCCGGCGTTTTTGTGTGTGTAAGCGAGTTTGAACTCTGACTTCCTGATGTAATTTGTTTAGAAGTTTTTTGTCATCTGGGTGGCTAGTTCTTTGCCAGGATTTTCTTGCATGACTTCTTCTTTTTATAAGGTCTTTTATGGCAGCATTCTGAGATTCTTCACAGGAAATGTTTTGGTATTATTCTGGTATGATGTGGTGAGGTCATTAGTGAATTTTTTGACTAAGTCGTCTAACTCATCACTCGTATGTATTGTTGGGGTTGATTACTGGTGTATTGTTTAGAGCTTTGGTATAATTTGACCAGTTCATGATAACGGCTCTTTTGTCTGGTGTGCTATGGCATCTTATGTCTAGTTCAATTTCGACTGGGTTGTGATCCGAGGAAAGCTCGTCTAATGCTTGAATTTTAGATGTAGCTCGGATATATTTTAAAACGAAGAAGTCGATGGTAGAAGCATAAGTAGATCCATAGAGTGTTGGGGTGGGTGGAGCTGCAATATGGAGGTTGGCTGTATTAGCAAATTTTCGTAGTGTGGTGCCTAAGAAATTAGTAGAATTGCAGTTCCAAGCGCGGTGTCTGGCGTTAAAGTCTCCTCCAACTATGATTCGATTGTTGAGTTTGAATATCATGCTTAAATCTGCAATGATATCGTTAGTAGGTTTGGATGGTGGTACGTAGAGGGAGACTAAAGTGTATGGTGGTGTGGTGGGTGGTATGATGGTGATAGCTACTGCCTCGGTGGCTAAAAGCTGTGGAATTGTGATTCGGTAATGAGTGATGGAGCGTTTAATCAAAATGATGATACCTCCAGCTGTACGATTCGTGCGAGGTCTGTCATATCTGTGTAAATCATAGTTTGCAACGTGAAAAGTGAAGTTGGGACCAAGGATGTGTTCCTGTATGAGGAGTGCATCAGGGTTATACTCATTTATAAATTCTTTTAATTCTGGAATTTTCGTGTTGAGGCCTTGCGCGTTCCAAGTAATTATTTTCATTTCTCTGGTGTGATTATTCATGATCGGGTTCGTTAAGCTCTTCTATAATAAGAAATAAAATGTACATTTTTTCCATTTGTGTTTGTGCTGATCTGAGGTTTTTAAGATTTTTCTTGAGTAAATTTGTTAGTTTTGTGATTTGCTTTTGGCCAAAGATGGATTCAATTTCTTTCATAATTTGAAAAAGTTCTAAAAATACAGATGTGTTTAAATTTTGATTTCCTTTGGAGTTAGTTTGTCCTGTGGGTTTATTTGAGCGAGTGTGTTCAATTTTGTTACTGTTGGGGGGGAGGGTAGCCGGAGCTGAGTTCTGATTGGTTGATGAGACAGATTGTGTATTTTCTTGTGTTTTTTGAGTTTTTGGGATTTAGATTTCAGAATATAATTTTCTGGGGCCTTGAATTAATGTTTCTTGGTTTGGGGAGATTTTCGCATCCTCTATAGGAAGCAGGGTGTGAATTTTGGCAGTTGGCACAGACTGGGTCTTCAATAAATCCTTTTTTTGGGCAAGCAATAGATTTGTGGTCCCCTGCGCATTTAACACAACGGGGTGTAAGGAAACAGTTTTCAGAAGAGTGATGCCATTTCTGGCAGTTGTGACATTGTGGTATGAGATTTTTGTTCACGTATTTTTCAATTTGCACTATAAATAGTGATATGTGTGTAATGTTGTATATTTCTTCGATGTTAGGTGTGGGTATTAGTTGTGTTTGAAATAGAGGCATGGGCTGTCGAGTGCGATTTCTTGTCATTTGTGTAATTTTGTGTACTTTGAATCCTTGTTCGGTGAGAATTTCGTGAATTTCATCAGTGTCCATGTCTATTGGTAATCCTCTGATTACAACTTTCATAGGTTTAAGATGTCGCGCGTTTATTATGTAGTGTTCTACGTTTTTTTCTTTGAGAAATTGTGTGAGAATTCCATGGTCTTCTGGTGAGAGGGTCTTCTGGTGTATTTTTAGAAATTCGCCAAAATTCGGCCAAAGAATTTAGCTTTCGATTGGTCTGCAAGCTGTTTTAAGTAGTTGTTTTATTTTATGTTTTCTGGTGGTTTCACCATAACTGGGGGTACAGATTTGTGCTGTGGGGGGGTCGAATTGTTTGTTGAGTGTCTGAATCATTTTGTGTCTCTGGATTGTTATCATTTTGGGAAGTAGTGCTGTCGTTATTGCTATCAAGGGGGCTAAATCTATTTTTGGTGGCAATGTAATTTGATGCATCTTTTAAGTTAGCAAATTTTTTGGTCTGTTTGATAGATCTAGCTGGTTAACAAATCCGCCATTATGCTCATTACAGTCATCTGAATTTTCGGAAATATCATGCTGTTTTCTTTTTTTGGTTAATGTTACTATTAGTAGCGTTTAAATTATCTAAATTTTTCTCGGGTGAACAATTATTGGGGTTATCTACGGGGGTCCTAGCACACAATGACATAAAATGTTCGCACTTACCCCTAAGGTGCTCCATTTCCAGTTTCATCTGTCGTATGTTAGTCGCCATCAGAGGAGTATACTGGTCTGGATCCGAAACGGCACGAACGGCGTCCATTTGTTTTTTGAGGGATTTCGTCATTTCAATCTTGGCTTCGAGTGCGTGTATTTGGTTCCTTATCTGCATAACGATGAGTTCAGGTTTAATGTCCAATTGTTCGGTTTCCGAAGCGGTCGAGGTGTCCATAGAATCCTGATCAGCAGCATTAGCCGTACTTCCAGTCGCTAGTAGGTTTGTCCGGCGGTATAGCGGCGCAAGCCGGCGTCGGATCATGGGCTGATGCCATAAGCAAAAAAAGCGACCTTCACCCATGCAGGCTGAAGGCAGACGATAGAGCAGAAGACAGCTGGGGGAAGAGGATATTTCTCCGGCGCCTAATGGCAAAGCGACGAGTCGTTCAAATTGTTTATTAGCTACGAATAAAAGTGTTATCTTGCCATCTGCGATTGTTATGATGAAATCTTCGAAAGGAACATTCATCAAAGGAAAGGCTCTTCTTGACAACTGCTCACAGATTAACTGCGTGTCTGCTCATTTTGCAAAACAAATAGGGATTAAAAAAACAAAGGTTTTCGCTCCGATTTCAGGATTAAATGGAACTGATATTACTTTAAATTATAAATTGAGGACCTTAATTGCCAATAATGAAAAAACATTCTCTAGAGAACTTGATTTTTTTATTGTTCCCAAAATAACAGAAATGACTCCCCTTACCCCCATACCTATTGAAAATATTGACACCCCCAGGAATATTTCCTTAGCTGATAACAGATTTAACACACCTGAGGAAATTGATTTATTATTGCGTGCAACAATGTTTGTTTGACTTATTAAAATCGGATCAAGTTCGCAGCGCGACAAAAGACTTAAGTACAAAAGACTTATTGTTCCAGGAAACAGTTTTTGGATTCGTAGTTAGTGGATATTGTGGCATAATTCACCACTTGAACCACAATACTGTGGCCTACTTAATGCAAAATGAAAAAATTGAAGAAACACTGAAAAACATTGCAAAAATTTGGGAGGTTGAAGATATTAATTTTCCAGATACAGCACCGAGTCCTGAAGAGAAATATTGCAAAAAACATTTAAACGAAACTCATTATCGAACCTCGGAAGGTCAGTATGTCGTATGCATGCATGCCATGAAGGACACGGAATTGTTGGGCGAGTCTAGATATTTAGCAGAGAAAGGACTTAATCAAGTTTGGCAGAGATTGGGTCGGGACTCGAATTTACAACGATTCAGAATTCATGCAAGAATACAAAGATTTAAAGCATATGGAACTAGCTGAGGGATCTGAATCCATAAATGATTCATACTACTTGCCTCACCATGGGGTTTACAGACCAGACAAAAGTAGTACACGTTTAAGAGTGGTTTTTAACGCCTCAACTGCCACGACATCGGGATTGTCATTAAACGATATTTTGTTGAAGGAAAGAATTCCACAGCAGGAATTATTTTCTATAATGGTTAGATTTAGAAAACACCGCTACGCCTTAACAGCAGATATACAAAAAATGTATCGACAGATTCTAGTCCATCCTCCACAAAGAAACTTGCTCAGAATTCTATGGAAGGAAAGTGTTGATGCTCCAGTGCAAACTTATAAGCTCAACACAGTAACGCATGGGACGTCAAACGCTCCTTATCTAGCGACTCGAGCTCTTAAACAGTTAGCTATAGATGAAAGCCAAAACTTACCCCTAGCATCGTCCGTCGCTCTCACTGACTTCTATGTCGACGACATACTTTCCGGAGAATCATCACTCGAAAAGGCTAGAATTCTACAAGCCCAATTATTAGATTTGTCAAAATTAGGAAAAATGGAATTGCATAAATGGCATTCAAATCATCCAGATATGCTTGTGTCTGAAAATACGGTTACCGCTCATTCAGAATACATTTTTGAAGAGCAACAAGAATCTTCTTCCGTAAAAATTCTTGGTGTCCTATGGAATCCTCAGATTGACTGTTTTTTGTTTACAATGACCATTCCTCACTCTAACAGTTATAGTAAACGATATGTTCTGTCACTAATTTCGAAAATGTTCGATCCACTTGGTTTAATTAGGCCAGTGGTCACAAAGGCCAAAATATTCACTCAAAGGCTCTGGCTTGCTAAACTCAGTTGGACTGACACATTGCCAGATTCTATGGCCAAGAAGTGGATTAATTTCGTATCCACGCTCTCTGAACTAAGTAATCTTAAGATTCCTAGATTTGTATTCCAGGAAAATCACATAGTGCTCCATGGATTTGCAGATGCGTCATCTTCGCATACTGAGCTGCAATCTATGTTTCAAGCTTTGCCGTTTTCGGGATTGCCAACCGTTCGACTTTTGTGTAGCAAGTCACGAGTTGCACCTATAAAAACCTTATCAATTCCTAGATTGGAACTGTCAGGTTGCCTTCTATTATCCAGATTGATGGATAAAGTGATATCTTCGTTGACTGTTAAAGTAGAAAAAAAAATTCTTTGATCTGATTCTACGATTTCTCTTGCTTGGATTAGAAAATCACCACACTTACTAAAAACTTTCGTGAGTAACAGAGTCGCTTTAATACAAGAGCTTACGGGGTCATACCAATGGAAATATGTGCCATCTGAATGTAACCCAGCTGATGTCATATCTCGTGGACTGGATGCAAATGACATTCTTACGTGTGATATCTGGTGGAATGGACCAGACCTTCTCCGTGAGGACATGCATTATCCAGAACAACCTCTTGAGCCTACCACTGATAATGTCTATGTCAAGAAACTGAAATGTTTATCAGACTCTAATTTTGCAATATTAGAAAATAATTCTAGTTTAACCTCTCTCTTAACTCGAACAAATAATTATATGAAATTAATCAAAATTTGTAGTTTTATTTTTAGGTTCTTCAGAATCATTAAGAATAAGGAAAGGGTTTTCAGGGGCCTATATCCTTAGAGAACGGAAAGGGGAAAAGTTAACATTGATTCGGGAAGTGCAAAGGTGAGTTTTATTCTGATATTGAGTCACTTAAGAGGGATAGCCAAGTACCTCGTAGGAGCAAGCTTAAGTCATTAAATCCATTCATCGATAATGATGGAATCTTGCGCGTCGGTAGCAGACTTGCGCAATCTCAGGTAAGTTATGATTGTAAATATCCAATCATTTTTCCAGCTAGACATAGGTTGACTTATTTGATCATGTACTATTATCATCTGAAATATTTGCATCTTGGACCAGAAGCTCTATTGAGTACTGTTAGACAAAAGTTTTGCCCCATCAGAGGCAGGAATCTTGCTAGAAAAATAGTACATGAATGCGTACAGTGTTTCAAACACAGACCTGTACCAGTAAAGCAGATAATGGATGATCTGCCTGCTGAACGAGTGTCAGTTGAATCAACCTTTAACAAATGTGGACTCGATTTTTGTGGTCCGTTTCTTATAAAGGCAAAAAATCAAAGAAAAGGAGTTTTTCAAAAAATGTATGTTGCAGTATTTGTGTGCGTTGCTACAAAAGCAATTCACTTAGAAATTGTCTCAGACTTATCTTCGGAAGCATTAATTGCTAACCTAAAGAGATTTTTCGCTAGGAGAGGGAAAAGCTCAACCATATTTAGCAATAACGCTACAAACTTTCGGGGAACTCGAAATGAATTAAGCAAGCTGTTTAAATTAGCCAAAGTACCAGAACAAGGATTATCCGCGACTATTTGTTGTCAGAGGAGATTGAGTGGAAATTTATACCTCCTAGAGCACCGAATTTTGGTGGGCTTTGGGAGGCGGGCGTTAAATCGTTCAAAACGCATTTAAAAAAAAAACGGTTGGGAATTCAAAATTAACTATGGAAGAAATTTTAACTTTAGTAACACAAATAGAGGGAATATTAAACTCCAGACCAATTTCTCCTCTCTCTTCAGATGCAAGGGATTTTAATGCGTTAACGCCTGGACATTTTTTAATTGGCCGTTCTATAACAGCCCCTGTAGAACCAGAAATTATAAATAAATCTGACAACAGATTGTCTAGATGGGAAAGAGTCACCAAAATGACTCAAAATATTTGGAAAAGGTGGCAACGGGATTATTTATCGCAACTTCATGAGCGAACGAAATGGCAGTTTAAAAAGTAACGTTAAATCAGGAACTATGGTGCTCGTGAAGGAAGACAATTTGCCTATTTGGTCACTGGATTTTAGGCTGAGTTGAAGAAGTTATACTCGGATTGGATAAAAGAGTTAGAGTAGTAAATGTACGCATGGCAAAGGGTCTCTTTAAAAGGCCTGTCACAAAATTAAGTATTTTGCCCATACCAGACAACTATCAGATATAAAATTTTTATATTATGAATGGACATTATTACATTATTCATTTAGTGCAAATGTAATATTTTTATGTATGACATTTTATTTCTTATTGTATGATACTGAATTTAATTGTAATTGAAATAATTTGTGTTAAATTGCATTTCATTGTGTATTTCATATGTATGTCTAAATTTGAATTTAATTGTAAAAATTTTATGTCACTATTGAAACTTGTTTCAATCTCGTAACTCATCGCATTTTATATCAAACAACAAGAGTGTGCCTTTTAGTGTGTTAAGATGAGAATTTTTTAACTGCTTGATTAATAATGTTGGGTGAAAAGCCCCTGTCAATAGCTATTGCTTTTAAATAATGAAAGCGTAATGAATCATCGTAATGAAAATATAACGCTGATTTTTGTTGTTTGACTTCTGAATTAGTATATGTATCTATGTTTGATGCTATCGATTGCAATAAAGACTGGAGGTGCACAACTAGATGTTATTTACAGTCCTATATATCAAATTTCAAAGTTCTATGACTAATAGTTTTTGAGTTACGCGAAATACATAGTACATACGTTCGTACGTACAGGTGAGACACGAAAAAATTCTCTTTTGAATCCGTATTAAATCTACTTTACAATCCGTTTTAGAAAAAAAAAAAAAAAAAAAAAAATCAGAAAATGGATTCGAAAATGGTCAAAATGGATATTTTCTGTTGAAATATTATACCCGAAATCTTTCGCCATTACAATATTTTCTTTACTTCGTGCAAGGACGTAAAAAACAAGGTATTGAAAATATAAATTAATCGTTTCGAATATCACAGGTAATTTAACCATTCTTCCTGATGAAAAGTATAAATTAGAACTTACATTTAAATGTGTAACTCTGTTACCTGGTAATAGAAGCTTGATCTTAAAACTAAATAAAATTACGTGTAAGTGCGCAATTAAAAGAAATTATTTAAACAATTACATTGATGTTTATAAGGAATGGGAGAAGTTACAAAAATATTCCAAATAAAGAAATTAACAAACTTGGCCATTATTTTCCACATAGTAGACATTAAACAATTCAGTGTCTAAGATAACGTCTAGATAACGCCAAAATAACGACTAATGTTTGATTTAGTCAGCTCTCCTTGAATGACTGCTTGATTAAAGGTCCAAAGTGAATTAAGCTTGTTCCGGGCATAACCCATAGATCCAGACTATATCCCATTGGACTTGCGGTGGATATAGCGAAGATTTTTCTCCAGTTATGTACCAGATCGAGATTTTCTATAGGTTCAGGTAAGTTGGCGGGACACCAACTTACCTGTTGGGAATTTCACCATTTGTAGTGGTTACAGCCTAAAACATCGCGGCAAAAACATCGCCGACGAAAACGTCGCGGATTAAACAACGCAAGGAGAAAACGTCGCCGTACAAAACATCGTGGGAGAATAAAGATATTTTTGATGACGATGTTTTTAAACTGCGAAGTTTTTGAACCGCTTTATTTTTGACGACAATATTTTGTACCGCGATGTTTTAGAACTGCGATATTTTCTCTTTGCGATGTTTTCTCCCACGATGTTTTGTTCCACGACGTTTTCTCCTTGCGTTATTTTTCCCGCGACGTTTTCGTCAACGAGGTTTCTGCGGCTATGTTTTCGGCAGACACCATTTGTAGTACAGGTATAGTCCCGCCAAAGAACGTGCGTGTAAAGAAGGAAGGCTTCCATGAACGTAATCTAAGCCATTTTCATTACTGCGCCGCTAAATCGTAGAGGGACAACCAAGTTTGTTGTCATTTGTCAGAGCTTACAGTATTTGTTCTGTCATGAAATCTTTTACGATAATTTACACTTGGATTCTCGTAGGTCGAAGGTCTCGTAGAATTTTTTAATCAAAATAAATAATACATTAATCAATGTATTTGCGTGGATCACTAATTTAATTCACGTCAATTCGGGGAAAAAAAAAAGTGTCGGAGAGAAATTTGAACTTTTGATAAACGTGACTTTCGACACCGGTTTGACACCTATTTTGCGCATGCCAAAAGGTATTAAAGCTGGATGGGTAATCTCTGCAAAGTACACTCCATGTATATTTTTCCTTCCGCTCTGATAAAGTTACTCCTGCTTTGGCGAAGCTTTCGTTCTTGCTCTTAGAAATTCTTTGGTCCCGCCGCACTAACTGCGAAATTCTGCCCACATTTTTAAAGAGAGACCTCATTCCTTACACCTGGAGGCCGGTCCGAGGGTCTCCCACGACTCTTCTCCAAGAACAACTTCCCCAAAGGATTTTCGGCTCGCTGTATATTTTGAGTGTCCTCTTGCTATATTGACGCTATACGCTTACAAACATCCCTGCCATGTCTGGGATTCGGACTTGGGCCAGTCGGTACGGCAGTCAGTGTCACTAACCATACGGCTGGGCGACGAGATTTTCTACAATTTTTCTATCACTCAGAAACCAAGGATCTAATTTATAAATGTTCAGAAAAGTTTGGGATTACGCCTGACTTTCTGCGTATGGCGTCTGAAGCCGAAAAAAATTTTAAATATACCGTCTAAGCTTTGCCGCCATTCTTTTTACGTAGATAATTTTATTAATGGCATATTTAGTTTAACTGAATTAGACAACTTTGTGACTCAAAAATTAATATCAAGAGCTTGTTAATTCGCAAGGCTGGGAAAGCAACGTTTCTAGTTTGTAAGAAGGAAAAATCTTAAGGAAGAAAATTCCTCTTTAGGCCTGATTTAGAATTTAGACCATGGTACACTAAACCGTAGTCTTCCACCAAATTTACTCGTAGATCTCAGGGATGATCATATTAAAAGTACGGTTTTGTTCATTGTACAACGAATCTTTGATTCCCTTTGAGACAACATTAATACCGAAGCTGTTGGCAAAATAAATTCACTTATGACGATTCTTTTCCTTCCAGTATGCAGAAGGAATTTTCAGATTAATTGAGGGAAATGTTCGTCTTTAATGAAATGAGGATTTCATCGAATGGTTATAGACGAAAAGAACTTAAGTTCAACGTATAAGAACCAAAGCAAGTGTCACATCTAAGGTGTTAATGAACATATTGTTAATGAACTTAATACATAATTTTCCATATACACTTAAAGCTCCTTCTGTATCATTTAGCAGGTACAGCGAATATCATCTTGCCATTTTCGTATAGCCGACACATTTT